TCTCTGTAAGGTTCTAGAGGTGCCTGGGAGTTTTAAAGGACCCTATGAAATTGTGCAATGCAAGTGAAGTTTAAGAATCTGTAGATTAAGCTTGAACAAGCCGGAAATGAACTTTATGTCCCCACACTGTGTTTGAGCTTCGCTATTACATTATGTCCCGTGAAGAACTGGAACAACAAAAATCTTCATAATTTTGGCCTAATGTGTTTTTAGCGACTGTTCTTTAGATAGCCATATATTTAAAGAAGCAATAATTAAGTACATTTGAAGGGGAAAGTAAATGAAGTTCAGAAGAGAATTTTTTAATTGCTCAATTTGTGCTAATGAAATTATAACATGGAAGTTTTACGTGGACTTTATTTTTTTAGGCAAAGTTAATTTTTGTTGAATTCCATTTTCTGCTAAAATAGACAGAATAAATTTGACAGAAGAACTATTGCGATGCAATACTTTGTCAGTTATAGAACTGTTTTTAAAGATGCAAAAATGATTTCTGAAAGTCGTAAAAGACAATTTTCCTCTTGTGTTAGAAGTACGTATGTTTGTTGATTTGAACATTTGGGATTTGTAAATATTAATTATGATTTTACAGTGATAGTGGTGAGTTCTAAATCTGGGTTTCCTCTGTATAGGAAAATTTACTTAAATTATCAGAGCCTTAATTTAATCAGTAAAAATTTAAAAATTATAATAATACCTGCTTACCTTACACCAGGATTGGTGTAAGGCAAAGATATCTAATCACTTTTTTTTCTTTGTCACACTTTGGAAGGAAAAGAGTTGTCTTAGGCCACATGTTAAATACACAAGTAAGGTGATTAGCAAAAATGAAAGCGTCTATGCATACTGACACCACAGATAAGCAAAAAAGTCACCACAAAATCGGAGGCTGTGGGCCTGTGAGCTGTAAATTGGACACCCCTGGTATCGTTCATGGATAATAACTAGAACTGAAGTATATCCCAAATACCCAGCACACACTGAGCTTAAATGAGACACTGTCTCTATTATCAAATGACTGCTGTCCCCCCTCACTCTCCCCATAAAACGGTTTTATCGTGGTTTGTTACTCCTGTGAATACTTCCCATAAAATCAATTAGTGGTCCAAGTTTAAAAATCTATTGAAGAGTCATTCAGACTCTCTGCCGAAACCGTTCAGAGTGTGAAAACCCCTTGGATTTTATGAGAATGAAAAGAGTGGTTGCTTAGAAGCCTCATCAGTGCATGATCCCACAGTCAGGGTTTCCAGGTAGAAACTGTCCTCTACAGCTCTAAGTTGGTTTCACGTGCACCTGTTTTCCTTGGTAACAATAATTGCTGCGTAGCAGAGTTCAGGAACCTAAGCTCTGTCTTAAAGTTTAGAAAGGCTTAAAGGTCATCATTTAAGTTCAGATCTTTAGAACAGGCTTAGATCAATATGAGACAGAGTGTTTTAATTGCATGGCCAATCACACATCAGAACCATGGAGGCCATCCCGTTGTTATTTATCAGTACTGTGTTAAAAACTAGTCAGTATCCTCCCAGAAGAAATTAGTAGCTATATTTTTTGTTTACAATTTATACTCAGGGCTCATCCATTTTGACTTAAGCATCCTCTTTCCTGCTAGAACACTCTCATGGTCATCTATAATTGGATAATTAGCGTCCCGTTTAACAGCAGCTAAAGTTGTTCTGCTCTTGAAGTGGATTGACTGGGGTTTCCTCACTGTCGGGTCTGATCCTCCACCAGCGGAGGGAGCAAGAGACTTCCACACGGAGGCGGCCCCCACCCCAAGGACTTCTCAAGGGGCATCTGGGGTTTTCGCTCTAGTATGAGTATCTGTTCTATTTACAGCAACTCAGTTACCCTGAAGTTTTATTTTTGTAAGAAGTTTCATCAAAGAGCTTGTATTTTAATGAGTTACTTAAAAAACATTACTTGGGAATGCATAAGGCAAATGGATTCCCTGTTATATATGTTTGGTGCATTCCCTTATTTGAAATCTGGGGGGTTTCTAAGATTATATAGGTAGTACACACACATCACAAGGCAGATACAGCCTCTCTCTCTCTCCCTCTCTCTCTCTCTCTCTCTCACTCTCTCACACACACACACATACACACACCCAAGGGAATAATACCATATGTCCCAAGTGAGACCTACTTGTAAAAACAGAAGTGCTGAACATATCACAGAATCATTGTGAGAGGACAGTCTTCAGTTTTCTCTCTGGCAATGAGAATTTTCTCACCCTCAAGACATGCAAATGACTTTTTTCATCTGTTCTTTTTATGTTATTTGCATAATTTTCTCCTGCAAAAGTGAGAGCTGTCAAAAATTAACCATTTGGGGCTCTGGCATTTCATTCTGTGACCTTTTCCAGAGAATTAGGTCTCTTCAGGGAAGTAATCCCTTTGGATGTAAGATGTGTGGAAGTTCTGAGAAGGTGGTCAGTGGCAGAAAAAGCCGAGGTCGGCTGGACTAGGAGGATGTTCACGGTACATGGCCACGTTTACAAAGGTGTTTGACATTTTAGATTTTCTCATACCCTTTCGTGTTTTTGTTTTAGTAAAACAGTATTTCAACAGATAATACAAGAGATGATTCAGGTGGATGTAACACTGTGCTCTCGTATGTTTCCGAGGTTAATAGTACAATGCAAATATATTTTGCAAGCGAGATGGTAATTTTAAATGCTACTTGAAAAACTACACAAGCAATACTCTGTTCTCCACGCCTTAGTTTGAGTGCATGTGTCTGTAGAAAACTGCCAAATATGCTTATTTAGTATGAATAGTTCCTTTTAATAAATGCACAGAGTTGCACTCTGGAGGGCTGTAATAAACCCTTAAATTCATTTCACTTTGACAAAGGTTGAAGTAAGTAGCAGGCTGGGGCACAGACAAGTGCAGTTATCTCTCTGATCACATTGTTTTAAACATTTTTCAGCTTTAAGCTTGTCTTACAAAGCAGTTCTATCAGTTTTTTAATTGTTTCGTAGTACCCGACATCCAACGTGAATGCACCTTGAGAACCAGCAGGTTAAAGCACATTTATTTAAGTCCTGCGATGGCTAACGCGGCAGCTAATTTCCTTTCAAATTATCCTCAAAGTTGTAGTTCATTTATTAGGCTGGGAAAGACAAGATTTTCAAGAGGCTTCGGTGCCTTTTTCCAATTTCCAGGAGACCCTCCAGCCCTCGGCATGTGCTGTCTGCGCACCGGGAGCGTTCCTGCTAATCAGGTCAATGATCACCGCCTGGCTCCGGGGACATGACAGGAGTCTATCAGAGCAGTTAGGAAGCCTCTGAACGGAGCACGCTCGCAGAGAATCTCCCGTTAAGAAACATCGCTTAGTTCTTCATTTACTCACTGGGAACCTCTGAGGATTTCAGCTGATCTCTTTCTCTCCTTAGACAGCCAGGAGCGCAATATAAACAGGGAACCAGAGCACAGGCTGCAGCTACTTGGAGGGTGTTGATTGAAAACTTCGATCTCCCCACCCCATTCACGGCTGACTTGACTGATTTCTCACCTCGTTCACAGAGAATATTTCAATTAAGGTAAGTGCTGCTTTATCTGGGTGACTGCATCACACGGAATTTCTGCATTGAAAGTTCTGACTGACGAAACTGACACTCTGCACTGCAGCAAGGGACTGTTTATGTCAGGGAAAGCTCAGTTTATAAGCAAGTGTCCTAGAGCAGAAAAAGCATTTGAGGATAATGACGTTTCAGGGCAATTTCTTTTGCAATATAATCATTCTGCCTTGCATCAAGAGAAAATAAAAGGGAGGATGAAAAGAGGGGTAATTTCTCAATTTGCCTTTCTAATAATCTGTTTAGAGGTCTATGCAGTGCCGAGGTAAATTGATTTTGATTGAAGTGATTTGTTGTCAAATGGTAAAATCTCTGAGACTAAAGGCTTCAAAGTTAAATTAGATGGAAAGAAAAGCCTTGCAAATCAGAGTTGAGATTTTGTGCAGCTTTCTAATTAGCAATGTTCCTGAGCTCCCTTTAGTTTAAGGATTTAGGACTAAATCCCTGAATATTTTAATGTCCATTTAAAACTTAAAATTTAGATGTTGTCATTTCTAATGCAAGTAATAAGAAAAACGAACCCAGAAGATATAACATACCATGAATATTCTTATACCATTCATCTTCTTACTCAAGAGAGATGAATTTCTTTGATGAGATAGATTAATGAAAAAGAAAGAAAAGAAAAATTAACTGTTTTATAAAGTACTTGTATTTGAAAAGATCTTTCTTTTGTAACAGATTAAGGTTATGTGTTTGTTTAAAATCTTAGCTTTTTATGTTTAAGTTTT